GAATAGTATCAATTTTAATCTTGGATGTGCTTATTTTTGGAACAAAAATTTTAGTTAAAGCTAATGTCAAAATAGAGTGGATGGGAAGTGTTATTTGAAAATTTATGTTAAAAAGTATGATGCAAAAGCCTCAATCTCGAATATAAAAAATATCCTTTACACAATTTCTTCAAATAAAATTTTATATGACAATTTATATAAATCAAACAAACTTTCACGCATACACCAAATTAAAAATATAAAAAGACTTTACAAGACGTTGGGAGTAGGTGAAATCACTTTAATTCCTAAATACTATACACTTGTGCGTTTTGACTCGATTTTTATTTTCAAATTCAAACGAATTATAATGGAGCCCACTAGCTTTGGAATTTTAGTAACATCTGTATCCAATTGTTGAATTTTATATTAGTGGTATTTTTTTCCTTTAATATGTTTAGAAAGAGCGGTGTTTTTTCATTTAAAAATATGATATTTTAAATTGTGTTTTATAAAGTTCAAGAAGATCTTTTGAAAATTGTGATTTGAAGTAAATTATAAATAATTATTTATATAAATTACGATAAAATGCATCTAAATTTTAACAATCACATAATTAAAATTAAAAAAAAACTTAAATCTTAACTTTCTAATTTATCCTCAATTTTACTATATATATATGTAACAACAAAATGTTAAAATTTGCTTAAAATTGATCTACCGTCAAACAAATTCCCAACTCACAGTTGGCAAATTCATACAATTAAGACCGTAACTTTAGAGGATATTTTTTACATTTAGTTGCTCCAAATAATTTAATTAGACTCATAATTCTAATTTATTAATTATGATTCGTATTAGGAAAGGAGAAAGAATAGAGAATGAAGGAGGTAAATTATATTTTTATTTCTCAATTAGATAATTATATAGCTAGTATAATAATGTATACATTTGAATAATATATAATTTATATTGATATATCCGAATCGACTTGAAATATTTATATATATATATATATATTTAATCTATAGTATAGTATAGTACAATACAAGTATTAAATTTGGGTGAAACGAATTTGGTCACGATACAGGGATCCTCGTCACCTGTGACAGCCCACAAAGCAATATGGGCCCAGCCTGTTTAGGACCTTAAACGTGTATACAAGAATTCAAAAATATTCCACGTGGCATTATTTCACGCGTTTTATGAATAATTACAACTGGAACGGGGTTGCTTGTAATGCACGTTTCCACCTATTTCGTAGTAAGCTAGAACAAGAAGTGCCATTTTCTGCTGCAATAGAATTCACCCTATATTTTTGTTCGCTTCCGGGTAACAAAATTATTAGTTTCGTCTATTTTACGATATATTAAATAATATTTATTGTAGTTGTCTCAAATTATTATTTTCTTTCATATTGTAGACACTATTTGTTATATGTTCGCAACAAATATTCAATTGACTTGTTGTGAAAGTCATGAATCTGTTATATCGACGCTTTTATATTGCTATGTAATATAAATCTTTGATTAATTTTGAACTTATCAGTATAAATTATATATTTTCTAAATACTATGGTCAAACACATGGTGAAATTTCACACAAATTATATCTAGCAAAAATATAACTCAAAATCCACCACCAAACGGTAGCTTAGTGTAGCCAAATATAATTCAAAAACTACTTCTAATTATTAATGTGAAGTATGCTTTGGAGAGTAAGCTTAGGAAAAATATATAAATATGTAAAATATAAATAAATGGGTTATAAAATATAAAATCTTGAGATAATTAAAAAATTTCAAATACAAAAATTTTGCACAAGTTCGTTTTTTTTTTTCTAGAACTTAAAAGTTTATGATGTTTGCTAATTATATTTGTCAAATAATTTTTATATGACCACACACTAATTTTCAAATACATTAATGGCCCAACCAGCCCTTTTGAGTGAAAAAAAATGTATACAAAAGCATGGAGAGGCAGTGCTATTATAGTAGCCAATATTTTATAGAGCAACGTTTGACTAAAGTTGCTTCAACTATACGTTTGAGAGCCAAAATGGATATAGTGCAAATTATTGGCCGTTAAATCTACTAAAAATATTCAACTCTATGGTAACATGACACTTATCTTACATTTATGCTATACACGTTATATTACATGATTCCTTGTATTAACTAATACTAGTAAATAATCTTATCGAGTCATAAAAAGTTACAGTACAATAGTAAATATATCGCTATATTTTTATGTTTCAAAAAATATGATCTCCCTTTTTTTTATCATATCAAATTAAATTATATAGCTTTAAATTTTTACTGTCTAGTTAGTATAATCTAAAATCCATGCCGTTCCGCACCCGCACTACCCGATTTGCTACTTGTATGTGTGTGACATTAGGGAACAAAAGCCTACAATCAAGGCGATTAACATGGTTGGAATTGTTGTAGCGTTAATATATAATTCTACCCGTGAACCTTATCATATAATCGTCTTCTTAATTTATTGGGAGTGTATATTATTTTAGTAACCTATCAAAGTTTTGAAACTTCTATCCTCCTTCTAGAAAAATGATCACGTACTAGTTGACCAATATTGCTTCGATTTTTTAATTTTAATAATTATGGGACAAAGAATATCCTATAATATATAGTGTATCACTCTATTCTTATCCTCATATTAATTTTCTATTATATAAAAAAGCCACGAAAAAGATAAGCAAGGACATTTTAGTTATTTTAATATTATTTAAGAATAAAACAATAATTGTATAATAATGATCAAAATGAAAATTTAAAAGAATCTATACATGTCTTAACTTTTGTTACGGGCTAATAAAGATATTATTGTAGTTTTATTTAAATGAAGAGTTTCAATTACTTAATTTACTTTTTACAAACAATAATAAATGTGTTTTGACATATTTGAGATTTTTTTTTGAATTAATTGAAATAAAATGGATTTGAATAGTTAAAATTTTGTTCCTAGAAATACTTTAAAGAAATATTGCGTAAACATAACTTTAATATTATGTTACATAATATGACCACTAAATTTGTATTTTGATTATTAAAATAGTCTTTAAAATAACCTATCAATAGTTTTTAAATAATTTGAAGAAAATGTCAAATTTCGTGACTAAAAGAATGAACAATGTTTTATTATTAATAAATCAATAATTTGATAATGTATTCATCGAAAGATTCTATATTTAGTAATTAAAGTGTCTTCGAAACTCAATTTTAAATTTTGACGTGTTGTTAACGTGAATGATTTCGAGTGAAGTATATAAAAAAGTTTAAAACAGTTTTGGAGAAAAACTTAATTATATGATTCGACGTGTCACAAGTATGAATATTTTTAATTGAATAATATAATAAACGACATAAAAAACTAAAAAAAGTTCATATTTATAATTTGAATCTATTTAGATCTATTTAGAGGAGATTTAAATTGAATAGGATTGAAAATATAATCATCCTGGAATATATATATATTGAAATATAAGGTTTAGATAAGGATTTTCCTGATTAATTTGATGTAATAATTTTGAGAATTGTACATGTCAGATTTATCATCAATTAATCATTATAGGTGCTTAACTTGACATGGACTTGGGCAATCTTTAGATTGTACTAACAAAGAGCCATTTATGGTTAATGTAACACATTCATTGCACAATTTGGGGATAATCATAATCTCACTAAATGAGTTTCAACCTAACACAAAAATATAATGTGTAACATTATCTTCACTTTAGAAATATTCATCCTTATAAATGGATCATTGCCTAAAATGGACAAACTCAACTAACAATAAAAAAGGTAGGATAAAAAATTTAGAGGTTCTATTTTTTTAGAATGTATGGTCAAATAATTTTATTTGGAGTTCACAAAGTAATATACATACATATTTAATTAATTTTTTTTATGCAAATACAAATAATATAAAAAAGATTAATAGATTTATTTGAATTCATGAACCCCATCTAGCTCCGCTTCTGACTGATAACACAATTATCAATAATATGACCCTCACAAAGATTCCACAGTCAAAGTCACAAAATACTAACACAAAAGGATTTTTATACCTTCCACCAACATTGGGGAAAATGTAGCAATAATTAAGAGGTTTAACACATACCTAAAATAGAAAATAAATCCTCCTCCATTTTTCAAGTTACTCTACCGGTGTTACAATTACGCCACAAAGACTTAAACAAAAGTTATATTCTTAGTCATCAACCTTTTAGCTTTGACGAACTAAGACTCGCACAATTCCTTTTCACATGGACCAATGAATCGCTGACCTAGCTTGACTGTCTCTATCAAAATGATATATATATATATATAAATCTTTCATAGGTGAAATTTTAAAAAATAATTAGTTGTTCACAATAGTTTTCATCTCATAAACTTCTATCAAATTTGACCTATTTTGAGTTGACTGACAATACACTTCCTCAATAACTTCAAGAATTTAGTCGAGACTCAATAAGGAATAATTACATAAATTTTATTTAGTTTTCTTATTACCATTATCTTCTGAAAGTTTTACAAATTTTCAAAATTTCTCATTTTTCTCTTAAGTTAAAAATGTCGTTAATGTGTTCGACCCTCTTTTTAATGTATCATCGCTTTGATTTTTTGGCCATTAATGCATCGGACCCTCCATTAATATATCCTATCCACTTTTTAATGTATCAGCGCTTTGATATTTTGACCATTAATGTATCCATTTAAGAAATTTCTATAATTTATACTTTTAAAGAATAAGTTATAATTTTACCTTAAAAGTATATGATTTTTCTAATTTGTCCGTCCAATAATTCTACATTTGTGGGTTCAACCACACCATGTCTTTAGTTGGACTATTAAAATTTGTTGTGACCACACCATGTGATTTTTGAATCAGTATTTGGGCTTACTAATGGGCCTTAGCCCGCCAAACCATTTCATTAGTCCGAATTAATTCGGTTTTAAAGTTCAGAAACAGAACCGAGAAAGTTCGTCCTATATATGCAATCCACAAACTCAAACCCTAATTTTCTCTTTTCATTGTCTCCCTAGGTTTAGGCTTTCCCCCGGAAACCTACTCGCCTGTTCTCCGATTATACTCGATGGGAACCGAGCGGAAGAGGAAGGTGAGCTTGTTCGATGTGGTGGATGACTCGGCAGCGAAGAAACTCAATGGAGGCTTAAATGGTGGAAACAGCATGACGGCTTCGATCAACAAGTGGAATGCAAAGCCTTACTCACAGAGATTTTATGACATTTTGGAGAAGAGGAAGACTCTTCCGGTTTGGCATCAAAAGGAGGAGTTCTTACAGGCATTAAAATCCAATCAAACTCTTATCTTGGTCGGTGAAACCGGTAGTGGTAAAACAACTCAGGTCAGAAATCCTAGTTTCTTGAGTCGTAACCTTATTTTTTATTTAGTAGTAGCTTTTTGCAATTATTTTATTGGCAACTAATTAGAATTGAAGCTTTGTTATGGTTGGGTGTTTCAGATGTCTACAGTTTCTTAGAACAATTAATTTGATTTAAAACACAAACTTTTGACAAGAAACGAGAGTTTGGCTGCGTCAACTAAAATTAGATGTGACAATTCATTTTCTAGTACTATGTTACTGGTAGTTTGATACTATTTGTATAATATATTATAGGGATATTAATGAGTATTTTCTTCCCTGGCTGGCTGGCTCCTCATAAGTTTTTTATAGGATTGAGATTAGTTCTAGTATTATGTATAGAACATTTACATAGCTAACCCTGAACTAGCTCAGGGTTGTGTGGTGGATTGATCTATTGAGTGATTGCTGGACATTCCTGATGCAAGAAGAAGCTTACTATGCTGTAGGTTTGGGCAAAAGGTGGTATTAGGTCTCGATGAGAACCAACTATGTAGCATCTACATTGAGAACTCAAGTCAATATATGTCATCAGTCCAATCCTTTGTAAGAACTACCACTAATAACGAACTTCCAAATAAAGTAACAAAAAGATGATCTTATTATTGTAAACCAAGATATTGAATATTCAAATAAATCCCTAAATTCGCAACTCCCCTTATCCAGTAAAAAATCTATAATTCCTATTAATAAACCGAATCCCCTTCAAAATTAGTTACTAGCGCTTTTTGAGAATTTCCATAACTTTGGAGTGATATTGTTTGAGTAACGGATTGATACATCCTCTTAATTAAAATAGAGTGGAAACAGGAGTTGATCTAACTATGTGATATGAAAAGAATTTATGATTCTACATCCCTAAGATGGTTGGATCTGCTAACAGATGTAATGTTATATTGTTGGTTCTGCCATTATCTATTTGTATAGTGAATTGAACCTTTATAGGATTTATGATGCTTGAAACTTCTTTTACCCAGACATAAACCTGGCTATTCCTTTCCATCCCCAGTTCCTCAAATAACAAGGTTCACTTTGACATAAAAGAAGAAAAGAAGGTGGATACCATTTGAGGTTCTTTTGTTAGAGATGTAGAATAATATTTTCTATGAGTATTAGTAGGGTTTTCTTATATAATGAGAAATCCATTATCTTCAAACTTCAAAACTGAAGATTTTATTCCCTAACTGTTAAAATACAAAAATCATCTTTTTGATAATTCTTTAAATTAATGATTACTGGGAATTTAAATTGATCTGTTTTGAAGTTCTTTTCTTTTTACTTTTTTTCTCCTTGAAGCAAGATGCTCATTATACTGTGTGTTTGTTAAAAATTTGTCCCTTGGTTTCATCAATTGAAGCAAGATGCGTCTATATTCTTCTCCGCTGCGTCAATTACTTGTTCATGTGTATGCTGCCTGATACTTTATCACTCATGATGATACACACTCTCTCCGACTGGAGTGGAGGTTTTTATTGAGCTACTGCTTAAAGGGATATGTTCGTGTTATACAGATTCCACAGTTTGTTTTGGATGCTGTTGAAGTAGAGACAGCTGATAAGCGCAGGAAATATATGATTGGTTGCACTCAACCTCGGAGGGTGGCTGCAATGTCTGTCTCTCGTCGTGTTGCTGAAGAGATGGATGTTGTAATTGGGGAAGAAGTTGGATATAGCATTCGTTTTGAGGACTGCACTAGTGCTAGAACTGTTTTAAAGTAAGTAGATTCTTACATGATAAAATATTTTAGGGCTGGTTTGCCATGGATAATTTTCACATTTTTCCGGTATTATATTCCGGAATCATCATGTTTGGACATATAATTGTTACAATTTCCCAGAAGTTGAATTCCCTCCCAAATACGGAAGACTCCAATCGTTCACAAAGATCCTACATTTTTCAAAGTTGTATTCATTTTCAAGCACAACCCCAATTTCTAAATACTTCCTTTGTTTCATTTTGTTTGTCTTTCTTTCCTTTTTGGTCCATTTAAAAATGAATGCTTCTTTTTATTTTTGCAACTCGATTCTAACTTTCCACGTGGCATGTTGAAGACCACAATGAAAGGGTTAGTATGGTACATTCTACATATCTTTAATTGAAGACCACAGGATGCAAAAATCTTTACTTTCTTGAACTCCCATGACAAATGGAGGGAGTACCTTTTTCCTACTTTTTTCATGACGCTACTTTTCTCTCTCCAATTTTTACATTTTTGTCCTAACTCCCACTTATATTCTCTTACAACGTAGCTTGGAAATGTTTCTTCCTTTGCATATTTTGCTTACATTATTAGAAAAATTCTCTACTGCTCTAGTTGCTGATGGATTAGTATTTGGTCTGTCTCTGTGCATGACAGATACTTAACAGATGGTATGCTTTTAAGAGAAGCAATGGCGGATCCTCTATTGGAACGCTACAAAGTAATTATTCTTGATGAAGCTCATGAAAGAACTTTGGCAACAGATGTCCTGTTTGGGCTTTTGAAAGAGGTGTTGAAAAATAGACCAGACCTAAAGCTAGTTGTTATGAGTGCCACACTTGAAGCAGAGAAGTTTCAGGGTTACTTCTTTGGTGCACCTCTCATGAAAGTTCCTGGAAGGCTCCATCCAGTGGAAATTTTCTACACGCAGGATCCTGAGAGAGACTATCTTGAGGCTGCCATTCGGACTGTGGTGCAGATTCACACATGTGAACCTCCTGGTGACATCCTTGTTTTCCTCACCGGAGAAGAGGAGATTGAAGATGCATGTCGCAAAATCACAAAGGAAATTGGTAATATGGGTGATCAAGTAGGCCCTGTTAAAGCGGTGCCTCTTTATTCTACACTTCCCCCCGCTATGCAGCAAAAGATTTTTGAACCGGCCCCACCACCAGTTGTGGAGGGTGGTCCTCCTGGCAGGAAGATTGTTGTGTCAACCAACATTGCAGAAACATCTTTGACAATAGATGGCATTGTTTATGTCATAGATCCAGGATTTGCTAAGCAAAAGGTTTATAATCCAAGGGTGCGTGTGGAATCTTTGTTGGTGTCTCCTATTTCAAAGGCCAGTGCACACCAGAGATCAGGACGTGCTGGAAGAACTCAGCCAGGAAAATGCTTTAGACTTTACACGGAGAAAAGTTTCCATAATGACCTTCAACCTCAGACGTATCCAGAAATACTTCGGTCAAATTTGGCTAATACAGTTCTAACTTTGAAGAAGCTAGGTATTGATGACCTAGTTCATTTTGATTTTATGGATCCTCCTGCCCCCGAGACGTTGATGAGAGCACTAGAGGTTTTAAATTACTTGGGAGCATTGGATGATGATGGAAACATGACCCGGCTGGGTGAGATAATGAGTGAATTTCCTCTCGACCCTCAGATGGGGAAAATGCTTGTTGTCAGCCCCGAATTCAACTGCTCCAACGAAATCCTCTCAATATCTGCCATGTTATCAGGTACGATTTCCTGCCAATTTACTTCCATTTTGTTGGTTGTCGTGTCTTGTCTTGTCTTTGTTCTATGTCGAGAGTTTGTCAGGCTTGGGAATGCTAGTCCGCTTCACCATGCCTTCTTGTTCACGTGCATAGACATTTGTCTATGCATATGATATCACGTGCTAAGCTGCACAACATGTGCATATGTGTGGGGTTAGTTGCACGTGTCTTCTTAGGATGTCATCAGCAACTGTCTTGTCTGGGTTCTATGCCCCCGGTTGGCATGTGCCGTAGATTTCTAAGTAAGTGCTGATGGAGATAGTTGCAGTTTCTCAGTATTCTCTCATGAAGCAAATGGTGTCGTCTCGCCTGTATGCATCTGCTGACCTACAGTGGGCCTCCGCTGTGATAACCAATTTTTTCTCTAGTACCCAATTGCTTTGTCCGGCCTAGGGAGGCTCAAAAAGCTGCGGATGAAGCAAAGAATCGGTTCGGTCACATAGATGGGGATCATTTGACGTTGCTGAATGTGTATCATGCCTACAAGCAAAACCGTAAGTATCTGTCTTCAGTCCCTCCTTAACAATCAAGTTCAGATTTCATATACCCTTCTAACCCTGATAATGTCTTTTTATGGTAATATTATCTCAGAGGAGGATCCTCAATGGTGTTATGAGAATTTCATCAATCAGAGGGCTCTCAAATCAGCTGACAATGTGAGGCAACAGCTTTCTCGCATAATGGCCAGGTTCAACCTCAAGTTATGCAGCACAGACTTCAACAGTCGCGAGTACTATGTGAACATAAGGAAGGCTATGTTAGCCGGATATTTCATGCAGGTTGCACACCTAGAGCGTACTGGGCATTATCTAACCGTTAAAGACAATCAAGTAAGCATCCCTACTAATTAGGGAAATAAACTCATACTAAGAGCCTTTGTGGGTCCAGCAATGCCGTTTATTTCTCACTATTATGTTTTTTTCCATCTTTTTGTTGTTTTAGGTGGTACACTTGCATCCTTCAAATTGCCTGGATCACAAGCCAGAATGGGTTATATATAATGAATATGTCTTAACAAGCAGGAATTTCATCCGCACTGTGACTGATATCCGTGGTGAATGGTAAATTTCGTTATTTTTACCTTTCTATATGCCTTGTTAATTATTACTCTTTTTTCTTTAGTACGACTGAGAGGATCTATCTTCTCACCTGTAAAGGAAAAGGGCACTTTTTCCTGTTCCAAATTGTGCTGCTACTTACTACCTAAGCAAAATCAGCATTTATACCCTTAACCCTTTATTGAGTCCCAATTTTCAAGATTCCTGCAGAGGTTCATTCATCGGATCTGTTCTCTAAGTAGTCCTGGTATAATCAGTAAGGAGTAATGTTAATTGGCTGAAACCAGGACTCTTTATCTTGAACTTCTTTCAAATAGACCTCCTGTTCAAGGGGACAAATGTATCTTTCTAAAAACTAAATTCGATAATAGCGTGCGTACAAATGGCTAATGTTTCCTTGCTATTATCTTCTTTCTTCTTTTTTGTAATTTTTCTCAGGTTGGTTGATATTGCACCACACTACTATGACCTTGCAAACTTTCCACAATGCGAGGCGAAACGAGTGCTTGAGCGGTTATACAAGAAGCGGGAGCGAGAAAAAGATGAAAGCAAGAGCAAAAAATGAATCCATTCGTCATACTTTTAGTTCCTCCAAGCACGAACACTCCATGGGAACTCTGGGGTCAGAATTTGGCCGATAGGTTAAAGATTGATGTACCATCTATTATGTACTGTAATAGTTTCTATGAATCCCATCTGAACTATTTAATACCCTGTTTCTTGTTGCTGGAGTGATCTATTTTTTATCTGTTCCTCGCGTTCAATGTTGTGAATTATCGAACCATCATTGTAAGTTTTTTCATGTGCTGAAGAAAATATATGCAGCCTTTCTGCTATATAGAAACTTGATTTAGATTAATGAGCAATATGGGATGCAGCTGCACAACATCTTCTTGTACAGTTTGTTCTACTTTAAAATAATTTTTTTAATTTTCAGCCCTAGCTTGCATGAGTATCTGTTTTCTTTTTTCTGCTTTGTTATTTACATGTTACTTGTTCACTGAGTATTACATATTTGATAGGCTAATCATTAGGGAAGGAAACACATTGTGGGTAGAAAGCAAAATTCTAGAGTGGTCCTGTATTTTAAGAACAGATTCTGGATACATCTGTTCAGGGGGTAGTCTGAAAAGATATGTAATTTTGTTCTCATGGAAGTAAAACTGGATGCTGTTGTAAATTAGGTTACTATTGTGGAGTTCTCATAATTTAGAACCATACAAGTGACTCATAAATATCAGAAAATCAAAAAAATTTCATACCGAGCTAATCGTTTCTTCGATTTTGTGATTTGGTGTTATATTTCAAAAGTTTGGTTCTTTCGTTTGGTATTTTGTGTAATTGTCTCAGAACTTTGGTGCACTGAAAAATCGAATTTTTATTAAAAAAATTAAAAATTATTCATATATGGGCATATTCTCTCAACTAAAAATAAAAGGTAAAATGGATAAATATCGCAAATGGTATGCAGATATTTTCCGTCATACTTTTGAAACATTGGTGCCTATGCCGTCTAAAAATTAGAGTATATATGTCATTCACTCTAACGGAGGACTAAACAAGACAAATGACACAATATTATTTGGTTCAATTCAATATTTAATAAATGTCGCGTTGGTGGATAAAATTATGACATATGTTTCTTAGTGTAAAGGACATATATGCTTTAGTTTTTGGACAGTAAGGGCACTAATGTCTCAAAAGTATGACAGAGGCTATCTGCATACCATTTATGATAATTTGTGGATATTTGTCATTTTTATCAAAATAAAAACTCAACTAACAATTAAATCATTCATGAACAAATCTAAGTAGCAACAAATTTACAATTCAATCGTTAACTTCAAATATTAATCGCTAAGAGGAACCTAAACATATTTTTATCAATGTACATTATGTAAAGGAGTCTGCCTTCATCCTTGTTTTTCTCGAAAAGTAGTTGAAAGCGCAATGTTCTTGACAAAGACAAATATAGTCTTTTAATTGGTACAATAAGTGTTCAGTGGAGAGACACATCAATCTTTAACAAAATTTTTAAGTATCTTATACTTTTGATTTTGTCCTCATTTTATTTTTCATTCGCACCGAAAAATTAATTTAAAAACATTAAAATATTGAACTGAAGTAAAAAAATGGAACCGAACTGAATTAGTTTGATTTGAAATACGATGCATACTTTTCTAAAACCAAAAATCGATCAATCGAATCGAAGTTTGATAAAGTCGAATCGAGAAACAGAACGTCCATCCCTAGATATTTCCACAATTGTTTTGTTGATTAGCATTTACTCCTCTAACCTTCTTGGCTAAATGCTATGCAACACTTTGAATAGAGGGATATTGTGCACTTTGAAAGAAGGGAAAGAAGAAAGATCTACTATAGTCTGTTATTTTCGTCTTCTATATTGAGTTTTATTTTAAAACACCTTATCAACATCAAGTTTGAATCAATTTCATCATTCCTAAGTTGGTGATTTAGTTAAATAAGAAGATAATTTACTAATTCACCTATTAATTGTTTTATCAAAATTTTACAATCAAATATAAACACTTTCGAAAAGAATTAATTAAAAGGATAATATAAAAACGTTTAATATATATTTTCTTGATTTAGCAAAGTAGAAAAACTATTTTTAATAAAAATCAAAACTGCATTAGTTATAGAGTGTTGGTCCTATTAGTAGTTGTGGATCTCATTGTGAACAATACTTAATAGTATAATATTACCATTTAAGTCTACATAATATTGAGTGCTTAGAATTATTAGCCCATTCATAAAACCAATACTACTAATCTCTCTAGAAGGGTGCTTAAATTAGAAATGTAAGACAATAATACTGATGATTATTCGTACAAATCACTACCATATCAGACATTAAAACAATATAATTTGTATAGTTCAAACGTTACAACGCCAGACGATCATGCAGTGGATTGATGAAGAGATGCATTGCGCAGTATTCAAAAACTTATCAGCGTTTAGCTGCTGCATTAAGCCTTTTGTAAAGGTCATCAATCTCCAACTGCAAAAAACAACAATGAGTATCAAATTTGGTTATGGTCCAACTCATCAAAAAGAGTGAGCTAGGAACTCATCGATTACCTTGTAACGCTTAAGCAGTCTCTCCCTTCTCTTTTTCATTGTTGCAGTTACCAACTCCTTGTCAAACTCAAAAGGTTGAGGTTCCAGAATCACTCCTTTGATGTTCTCGAAACCTCTTAGCTGTGTTTACGTAGAATAAATCACAATATTATTCCAATAATATTCCATACAAGTACCTAAAAACAGAGAAAATTTTGTATTTTGCTGACCTTGTTCCTTTCTGCAGCAGATTTCAGCTCAAGGAGAACATATTGGTTTAGGTCTTGTAGGGAACAAAGTTCAGTAATTGAACCTTTGTGGCCATTTTTATCAGCCCATTTCTTCGTATTCCCTTCATGTGGCGCCACGACTGCTATCAACATGGACTTGAAGCTGTCCCCATATACCCATATCTGTAAGTAAACATATATTAGATAGACATGAAATTCACTCGAAAACATATAATATTTCGAATGAATCAGCTTACATCTTCAACGATGGGCGCAATAGCATAAACCTTTTCCAGATATTCCAATGCAACATATTCTCCTTGTGATAGCTTTATAACATTTTTCTTTCTATCAATGACTTTTACAACTCCATTAGGCATCATTTCTCCGATGTCACCTGGATATGCTCAAAGGTAGATAATGTAAAAGACGTATTTCATATATAGTGAAACGACATTCTTAGCATAGAGTAAGTATAAACTTAACCTGTATGAAACCATCCATCTTTGATAGCTTCTCTTGTCAACTCTGGATTTTTGTAGTATCCAGTGAAAGTGGTCCTCCCTCTCACGCATATCTCTCCCCGGGAAGGGTCTGCTAGCGGATCATATCCCATTTCAGGAACTTCCTCGAGACGAACTTCTGTGAAGACAAATGGTGGACCAACAGTTCCAAGCATGCACATTTCATCTGGATGCCCAATGGTGGCCAAACCACAAGTCTCTGTCAAACCTACAGAAGATGCTTCGGATTATACACAGAGTGTAAAAATCAAAGTGAAAATGGAAACTCCGATAAGTTAATGAATCAAATCCACGTATAGTGTATCAGTTGGTAGAGAAAGGAATATGTTATATAACGATAAGTGAATAACATCGAACTTATTACAGTAGACTTGCTAGTATACTAAGACATGTTTTATTTGTGCATCGATGCTTTGTCACATAGAACTGGCTCATTCCTCTGCATCAAATTGCTCATATCGACTATAACTAGACAGTCAGTCATAGCTAGACTATAGGTGTATTCACTATAAAGTAATATTTACGAGTCATACTGGAAATATATAGATTTACCATAGCCTTGTAGGACAAATCCACAAGAGGTAACCCGCAAGAACTCTTCCACCTCAGTGCTTAAAGGAGCACCACCGGAAACTATGAGACGAATCCTGCCACCTAGCCTATTCTTAACCTAAACAATGAGACGAATAAATGAGTCAGAAGACATATAAACTCTCTTTTCCTTGTCCATAACTGAATATAATCCCTCAAAGATGGTAGAAGGCTAGCAGCAACATAAAAGCGAAATTTCTTCAAGTTCAGGAAAAGTTACAAGAAAGCGAGAACATAATTAGGAAAAAGTACAACCTTTCTAAAAGCTAGTAGATCAGCCAGTCGCGAAGCATACTTCTGTTTGTACCCAAGATTCATCCATTTAAGCTTGCTGATTTTCGAGATAAAATCAGAAAATTCCGAACCATAGAATAAGAAAATTTGAATAGAACAAATAAATAGAATATTACAAGTTATATAGCACATGGAACATGTGCCTCCTGAAAGGATTGAGTTCTTCAAGTGCTTTTAGTACACCTGATAAGCATAAGTTAAGACTTGATTACAATCATTCGAATTGTTTATCTGTAGCATTTGTATAACGCAAGAAAAAGCTAAGATTATCATACCTTCATGCACTTTTTCATAAACTCGAGGTACTCCAGCTAAAAAGGTTGGCTTCAACTCCATCATGTCTTCTTGTATCTCATTAATATTCTTGAACACAAAAATAACAAGAAGTATCGAAATCTTAGTATTCATTAAGTTAAAAAACTAAATTTATACCCGAAAACAGAATTGCAAGCTCTAAGCTACACTCCGACATTCAGTCTCTTGAAATTGGACAGGAATTTTGCTGTGACAAGTGAATGCAGTGCAAGAGCATAAAATTAGTTTGACACGTTTAGTTCCAACACCTTACCCCATGGAAGTAGCCAACAGAAGCACCCCTATGAAAGAAGAATTCTTCAATCATCCGATCAAGTATATGAGCAAGTGGTAGGAAAGATATGTACACATCATCCACTGTCATCTATCAAGAGATCAAACATTAGTCGAAACAATTAAAATTTGGCACTTCTGAGGATTTGGCGAAATGAAAATATACAAGATTCATAAGGCCCAAAAGGTTGTCAAAGCATCTATAAAGTAGCGATGAAATTCAATTCGTTACTGATTTATATTACTAGCGATGAGATGACCTGAAATTCTAGGAAAAGGATTTCCACTTACCTTGTCTTCGAATTCTTCCATAAAATGATCAACTCCTGTTACAGATGCTGTCATATTTTCATGAGTCAATATTACACCTTTAGGTTCGCCGCTAGTTCCACTAGTATACATGATTGTACATATGTCTAATGGCTGTGGTGGTGAAGGCTCTGATGGATTCTCTTTACCCTGGAAAGACAAAAGTTGTTAAATATTCTTCAAAATAAACAGCCCCTAAAAGCAAAAGATCACCTTAGGCCATCGGTGCGGTAGTGCTAGTGGAGCATTTCAATGGTACTAATCAAACAAAGAGTATATACCATGTTGAGAAATTCATTCCAAGAGTATGGCTTGATATTCATTGAAACTGCCTTATCCTTTTCTTCCTGCTGTAGCAAAGTGAAACACACGATCACTGCATTCACAAAGAAACTCGGTAAAAAACATTGTCAATCTGGTAGCTGCAACCAATAGAGAGGCAGACTTACATTTCAGGCGTTTAGCATGTGTGCACTCTGCATTTAGAAGCTGCAAAGTGAACATCGACCAAAGATGACCATCATATAACTCAGATATCCAAATTAAGTAAAGGTCAATAGCAATGAAACACAAGAAACAGTTTAGATGATCCTCACTTCTTTCACTTTCTTATCTTGAACAAAAACGATATCAATCTCAGCATGTTCAATAATAAAATCTACAGCGCCGGATCCTACATCAACAGAAAGCAAAAAAAATCTCAGGTATTTAACATTAACTGTAATTTAGTTGCTTTATAAAGTGAATTGTAATAACCTTAAATTATGAAAACAAAACCAGCATTATTGCTGCTTTCATTCAAATAACATAATATAAGTGGTAGACTGCAGAACCATTATTTACCGAGGGTATCATAGAGAGGAACACATATCAAACTGTGAGCACTGCAAGCCTAAAAAAAAATTAAACCGTCTATCAAATGATACGAATGTATAACTCATTGTAGATAAAAGTAAACACATTATGATCACACGCGGTCAAAACCATAGACTAACCTCCATTGCTACTATCCACTGAGGACAATTGGCTCCATAAATTCCAATTCGAGCACCCTATAGCACATTCGAATATCATACATGACATTCTTAAGACTCTAAAACTGATACAAATATTAAGTTAGCCTATTGCTTACAGGTTCAATTCCGTGAGCCCGTAATGCAGAACCAGTCTGCAAAGTCTCTTCATAAGCTTCTTTGTAGGTTTTCCAATTATAAGGACCCCACTATTTAAAAACAAACAAACAGGAAAATGGTGAGTAAAGACATTGAAATATTTTTTACTCCAATAACACTAAGGATGACAGATAACCAGATAAGTAGATAACTTCACACTTTACCTTTCCATCCTTAAAATCACGCCATCCCAGCATTCTGTTTCCTGGATATTTTTCAACAGCTGATCTGTTGATCAAAAAGATTAAATTACATCAAAGTTTGATGCATACATTCTTTTTCTATCTGGATATAGATGAAACTAGAAAGATATGAACTTTCAATCAAGATTTTCCTTGCGAGCTGATTCATGTAACTAATCTAAAAGTAAAAGAATAAAGATCTATGCTTTACTGACATTTGATACAGAAAAAATGAAGAAAGCAAACAAGAGAATCTTAATGGACTTGTTTTTTGTCCATTTCTTTTGTTTTCGTTAATCGAAGACATAATTAAGTAAATAAAAGCCATGACTAACTCGACTAATGGCTTAATCTTTAGAGGTGTTTGAATTTAAGTTTCACCACCATTCATTATGAAATGGAAAAAAAGAAGAAAATAATTGTTAGCTTATCACATTTTTCGTGAATATCACATTCAAACTATCAATTATTCTCTTTTCCTACCTGAACTATTACCGTTTATATATCTAAAACACTCAAACCATGAACTGTTCCTTCTTCCTATCTCCGTAGATAAAGCAGTAAGAAGGAACAATTCTTAGTTAAAATGCAATCGATGATAGTTCAAGTAGAAAAAGGAAACAACTGATAGTTAAAAAGTAAAAACTCGCGAAAAAATGATGAATCATGTGTTTTTTTTACCATTAACTCGGCAAAAAAAAAAGAATTTTCACGTCCTTGGCTCAATTAGACGAAATGTTTGAGACAATTCAACAGTTTGTTAGTGAAGGTTGAAGAAAAGTTACCTAAAGAGTTGCCAAGCTGTAGACAAATCAGGATCAGCTGATGGAAAACCATTTTTAGCTATTGGATTTCTATAAACAGGACCAATAGATGGCTCTCCATTTTTTCCTTCTTTTCCTTCCTCAACCTTCAAACCAAATTTGTTCATGCTCATTTTCAACAATTCTTTCTCTTACTCAAAACTCAAAATTTTATAGCAAACAGCACCTGAGATGGTCCAAACAGGGCTTATAGTGTAGCCACTTTCACTTCCAGCGATGAAGAAATGGCACAAAATAGACCTTGCATGAGAGAGAGAAGTAACGAATCTAGTTAATGTTTCAACTACCAAGTTTGGTACAAGAAACAGAGTAATTAGTCACATCAATATTAAAACTCAATGACTACCCGAGCCCATTTGGATTGACTTAAAAAAATATATATTTTTGACAGTGTTGAAATGTATTTTAAAAAGTAGTTAGTATTTGGATAAAAGTGCTGCAATAGGAAAAAAAAAAGTTATCGATGTGTTTGACAAATAAGTGCTAATAAACATTTTTTTTAAATCAAACTGTCTGAAATATCCTTAAAATTGTTAACATGACAAAAAGTTGATTAATTTTGAGGTTTTTATATTTTAAAAAATTAAAACAAAATTAATGTATATTTTACATTCATAAGTAATTATATTTCCTATCATTCACATATTTATTTATCATCTCAAATTATTATTATTTAATAATATAAATATAATAATAATAATAACAACAATAACAATAACAATAATAAAAGAATTAAGGGCAAAAAGGTAATATACTTGGTCAACATAAAATGACTTTTAAGTTGAAAAAAACACACCAATCACTTAGCTTTTAGCTTAAAATAAGTCACTTTGATAATTGTCAAATATTCTAATAAGTCAAAAATTGACTTTTAAGTCAGATTAACCAGCTTTTAAGCCCATCCAAACAGTATCTAAATTGGCTTATTTTAAGTGTTTTGGAGCCAAAATAATTTTTTAAACAGTTTTGAAGTGTTTGGATAAAGTAAAAAGTACTTATAATCACTTATTTTAAAGTCAAAATAACAAAAACAAATCAAAAGTTATAAGTTAAAAATCCTAACTTGTGGCTATTGGCTTATAAGTCATAAACCAAAAATCAATCCAAACATGACCTAAACCACAAGCTAAGCTACATGGTTTAGTTAAACAGGAGGATAAAAAGTGAAGTTGAATTCTAATTCCATCTCAACTTAATTTTTTTTTTAGATCGATCTAAATTGAGACAGAGAGAATATTATGTTATAGGAGCCAAAAAAAATCATACTAGATGAACGTAAGATAATGGTATTTTTTTCAAATTTAAAATATAGAGTCGTCTTTATTAAGAAGTATATCGAACGAGAAGTGAAAAAAATTAAAAATCTGTGGGGTTGTAGGTTGTTTGGGTGCAGGGGAGGCAGCTAATTAAAAGAAGGATGTGAAAATGAGAATTTAAAGATCACATGAATAACAACAGAGTCATAATAAACGCACCAAAAAGGTTGCAACTCTCTTTTTATTTTCCCTAGTCTAAGCTTGTGTTTGAACAATAGAAAGATCAACGAATCCGAACAGAGTCGAATTTAAAATTTTATATTTATATATGATTGAATATCATATTTAAAATATTATTATTTGTTGAAATTTTAGTAATTTCTTTTTATGTAACAATATATACTCTTGTATATAAAAATATTGAACTTGTAGCAAAATTGTCATATCTACATCCTTTGGATAAACTATTAATGGTAATTAGCATTAAATAAAGGGAAAATTATATATAATAGCAAACTAATAACCTAAATTAAATGGAATAGTTAGGGTTTGATTTAATTGTGCTCCATATAAAACATTAGCTAAAATTTGCCAGCGTCTCTCTCCCAAAAATCTCGCTCGCCACTCTCCATTCTCGCTCGCCTCTCTCGCTTCATACACAGAAGTGTATAATTCTGTTTCTGTTTTGTATAAAGCGAGAGAAAATTGTATATAAACATGCAAAAATGTATATCTTCGTGTTATACACTTAATTATACAATTTACAAACATTTTACTTCAAATATTGCAGAGAAAAAGGCCAACGAATTATACAATTGCGAATTATACAATTGCAGTGAAATACAATTTTCTCTAGCTTTATACAACAGAAGTGTATATATTGTGTTTCTGTTTTTGTATAAAACAAGAAAAACATATATCTTCTTGCAATACACTTATAATTATGCAATATACATACATTTTAATTCGATTCAATTGTATGCAAAACAACTTATACAATTGCAGTGAAATAGGCCAGCGAATTATACAATTTAGGCCAGCGAATTATACAATTGTATATGTAGAGCAAATTATATAGTTTTATGTTTGTTATGGAACGCAATTATGCAAAGTTTGCTATAGCATACAAATATAAATTTTTTGTTTGCTATATGTGAAAGTTGCCCTTAAATATAACAATAATGCCTCTATACAATTTAGTTTTAGGTCATTAATATATTTGACCCGATCCTGAATTCGCCTAACAACGGAAACGGACTTGCACCGTTTATGTCAATTTATTGACTTTAGCGTAGGTAGGTGTAAAGGAAGATGGGAACAGCCAAGATTTTTGAGACGCCTTTAATTATTTGGTGTATATATCGAAGGTACACTTTATACGAGTCGGATTTAGACAATAGCAACGATAAAATTATTAGAAAGATATTAAACCTCTTGAATATAACCGCATAGTGGTTGAGGGGGTTTGAATTTCAAAAAATATATTTTTAATTTTAAAATTTATGATAAAAATTTTGAATCCGCTGCGATATATAGATGATTCGGATATATATATATGTATATATATATATATTAATGAAGGGTATGTTGAAAAACAGAGAGGTGGTTGATCTGTATAGAAATATTTTAGGATGTTCTTAATGTACATTAACTAGAATTGAATAGTTGTAGGCTGTAGGTGTACTAGATGCTTGATGGGTTTGTACCATTTGGTCCCCTCTTTACATTTACTTCATCTTGAATGATCCATTTTGCAAAATGTTATCGTTTCGAAAATATTTATATATAAATTAGATAAATATTATGGGATGTGCAGTGGCAGAATTATATATCGATTGATATTCTTTTTATCACATGTTGACGCTCTTTAACTTCAATTAATTTTACTTTTTTTTTATATATAGATATTTTTAATTAAAATCCTAACTCCGCCGTGTAGAGTGTCAGGTGCTTTTAATGAGTTCTCTTATTTCAAGAATTATTTTCTAAATAAAAATTGACCAATAAATTATGAAAAGATTAAAAAATATGAAACACACCCTAAATCTTCATCCTTTTTTTCTTGTCATATCACTTCTTGATATTACTATCTTTTGACAATTATATCAAATTCGCGTTTTACAAGTAACTAAGAAATAAATTTATAACAAATAAAGAAAAAAGTGTTTAGAAATTGAAAAGTTTGGGTATTTATTTATTTTCACATTAATATTGGTTTTACTTTTAACATAGCAACAATCATTTTCAATCAAATAACGTACCCATTATTGCACGGCATTTAGCTTTAAAATCTGGACACAATTGATTAGTATTTCAACTTGCAAATAGCAATAATATACGGAAAACATATTATAATCTTTTTTTTTTTGGATGTCTATAATATTATATTAAATATTTATCAAATAAAAAATATATTATTCTATTTTAAGCAGATAAAAAAAAAAGATATGTTATATCAATAATGTTTAAGAAAAGTAGGAAAAAGTAATTATAGGCCGTAGTTGAGCCAGATTTATCAATAAGGGGTTCAAAAATTGAAGAGATAGACACTCAAAATAGTCGAAGGGGGTTCGATATCTACTATATATACTTAAAAATTTATTTTAATTATATAAAATTGATAAATTTTTCGCCGAAAGAGGTAGAGATGAAAGCCCTAATTGGCATGTGGCTCCGCCACTGGCTTTAGCAGTATAAATGAGTATGCAGTTGAAATCTTTAACTAACTAATTTATTGTGATGATAAATGAATATATAATGGTAAAGAAAGAGAAAACACGTTTTCATTTATTGAGAGCCACCAAGAATTTGATTCACGACCAAATATATATTAAACTTTAAATACTATACATGATTTGAATAAAAATGGTAGAGTTTTAAATAAAATTTTAAATCGTAAATAAAATTATACAAGTTTATATTTACGTTAAACTACAAGAGAATTAGTGTAGGCATCAACGTATGACTCAATTGAATTTGTTCCAACCCTCACACATGCACTGTGTGGAGGCCTGTGATGTTTGTGGTGAGTAGATCGAAATATCGAGATATGTCATTTATTAAATGAAAATAAAAAAATAATAATAAAAAAAAGACTTATTCCGTACACGCTTTAAGCAACAAAATACCGAGTGTTCTAAAATGTTAAGGCATGAGGCAAAAAGGTTTACTTGGCGGGAGACTAGGCATAAGTGATAAGTCTCGACGCACGAAATACAAGTCCTATAAAACTTTATTTTAAAAATAATAATATAAAAAATTATGAATAACAAAAATACATTAACAATCTTTTTTTTTTTTTAAAAAAAAAACAAGGTTAGAAAGAACCATGGAAGTCGTGATTTTACAAATATAAATAATGCAATGATATAAAAACTATTATGAGAAGCAAATCAACTCTGACGCATCTTTAACTTCCAAACCGTTTAAAAAAGAATGACCTAGTTTGACTTGAAACAAAATATATAATTTTTTAATATCTAAATTTTTTTATTTAAAATATCAAATTAACGTGATCTAATTTATGTTTCAAAACACACAAAATGACAAATAAAAATGAAGTATTGTCTTTCTCCTAAAAAGATAAACAGCAAAGCGAAAACCGGAGTTTAAAAATCAACCCAAATGCCCAGAAAATTGTACTTTAAAGGTCCAAAGAGATAAATTTCAACACAAAAGAAACAGAAACTACTTTTGAAAAGTACCAAGAGGATAAAAGACTAACAGAAACACAAACAACTACGGCATCAGATTCATCACATAACTATTTCCTCTCACAGGAGGAAACCCATGGTTAAATCAGTGTCCAAAGTCATTTTGAACCTTGACGTCCACAAAAAGCAGTCAGTCTGAAGCTTTAAACTATTAGACCATCCGAAAACATGTACTATTCCAACAAAGTTATCTAGACAGGACATATACACATTTGGCATGATAGCCAAATGGTTTGACAAAACACCTACCCAACTACGAAACTAGATTTTGATTAAATAGCAGCAACCCATGATT